ACTCCAACCAAAACACAACTTTTACTTGTCATAGAAAGTAGTACAAGTACTAAACCTCCAATTTGATTAAATAATAATAATAATAATAATAATAATAATAATAATAATAATAATATTCTATTAAAATTGTATAGGTATGTACGTTGATTGGATCTTCGATCACGGTTAAAAATGTGCTTATTAGCTAGCCACTCAACAAAAGCGTTGACTTTCCTCAGCACATCAGTACATGTTTGATGTTTGTGCATCATTCTTTTTAACACCTGATTCCCTGACATTAATTACATACCTTGCTGGGAATTGGAATAGTGTATCCCAATAACCTAACAAGGCCATTTTAGCTAGTGGTCATTACTTAAATTGGATCTTTAGATTTCCTTAATTAGTGAGTTTAATATTCCTAATTAAATAAATGTACTAGATTCGAGCTAAAATCTTGAATGGGGAGAAGACGAGGATGTTGAGGAGTGCATGCATTACATTTTATTGTGTGATCGAGAATGAGTGACCTTTTCAGTTTCAGTTTTTTGCTTTTTAGATAAGATTTGACTTACTTGAAAATTTTCATATTTAGAATATGATATAAGAATATTTATCAAGTGATTAATGCTTGAGAATTTGCATTATGTATATTTTTTCTCATGCGTTTAATAATTATATCGAGAAAAAGAAAGAATAGATTCACGGAACTTAATTTTGTCATTTCAACCTAAAATTGGGAACTAGGAGGTCCCTATTTGTGAGGAAGACAAAATTAGCAAGCATGCACAAAATCAAATTATGCAGTTGTAGCTTTTATTTTATTTTGGACTATATATTACATATATACACTATTACATTGTAATAGAAACATATAAGATAGTTTCCTATTTTTGGCATAATTGTATTTAGCAGTTAGTGTAACAAGAAAAAAAATAGGAGTTGATTTTACAAATCAGTAGACTAATGGCACTAAAAGATCGTTCGTAGTATGGGGTCAATGAAAAAATTAGATGTGTCAAAATCAAAGAAAAAACATATGCGGCAATATATTGAAACATGTAGCATGTTGTTGTGCATATACAGTTGCATTTGCCCTGGCAAGTGGCAATTCCTATAGCATATAGTCATATAGATAACCCCATCACCAATTCGGGTGAACCTTCGCTATCGAGCTATCTCCATTGTGTTCGGGTTGATTATTCATACTTTCTCTGTCCCAATATGTTTGTCCCGCTTTTCTGTTTAGATAATCTTGTTGTATTTGCCTCATCATGATAAAAAGTAAGCAAATGACAAACGAGCAGCGTCACATACAACGAATCAAACCATATTTTGTTTAAATCTGGGCAAACTTAAAAGGACAGATAAAGGAAGTATCGGACAGAGAGGGACATATTCTCCCTCTTTTAACATCCCTTTTATCTTAACCCCCCTCCCATAATGTTGGGCCTTAATTTTATTGAATTTGGATTTCAAATAGTCCACCTTACTGGAGGTGATCGAATTGGCCCGGCCAGCTCAGCCCAATTGATCAGACATATTTGGGTGGGTTTGGGGGGAGCATCCGAGCATGGGAGGACAGATAGGTGTACCTTCAACACCATCATTGTATCGGATAAGATTTTTTGTAGGATGAGAATCATGGAGTATGTTTAGAAGCAAGTATATTTGAATATTAGTTGGAAATGAATTAGAGCAAAAAATTGGATAGTATTGGCACTGCTTTCAAGTTCTAACGTCAAATTTGTCTAACGTGTACTTTAGTACATTACAATTATTTTGGAACTAAGCAGTGGCCAATGGGTAATTGGGTATGGTATTGGTGTCCTTATCTATTTCCTATAGATCATCACCGGACGTTTTCCTGTCGCGATTTGATTTTCCGAGGAAAAGACAATATATACTCCATGAAAACGTTCTTTAATAGTTATTGGAAAAATTAATGAGGTAAATTTTTTGTATAAATCATGTAAATCTGAGTATTGAGAGTTTGGAGGATTGTGGCTAAAAGTTACGAACTCATGCTTTTATACTTTAAATCATCCGGTAAAGTAGTGAAACTTATTTGATAATCTCCAAATGGAAGGCAAAACTTGTGTCCAATATTTATACAAGTTGGGCTCTGTTTAGGGAAGTTGTAATTGGGCTTTATTAAGTCACAAGCATTGAATTTCCTGAATGTAGTATGTCCATAAAAACTTATGCTTGGTTTGTTGTGTGAAGGTCTGATCTCATTTGGGTCAGTTCTTTTGGTGGATTTGGGAGGACATGAATTGGGCCTATTCTTGAATTTCACGCTTTTATTCAAGGTGGCATTAATATACAGTTGACAAACTTTTATCCGATCCAATATACCGACTTGAAATTAATATTTTTTTATTTTTTTTTTTTGGTGTTTAGAGAGCCACAAGGGCGGATGATGAGAATCAATCTCAAGATCTCTTAGAATCAACTTGAAATTAATGAGAGAAACTTGAACACCTCGAATTCACATATTGAGCTTGATTTGACTCCTTTATCATGTTATGTACTGACGGGGTGTTTGGCAACAGGGATAGGGATAATGAGAATAAAAAGGTATGATAAGGATAGGGAATTAATAGGTGGGATAAGGATAAAAATTATGTTATCCATTATTTGGTATGATTTGGGAATTAAATTGGGATAAGTAGTTAAATTACTTAACTATTCTTACTAACATTTCTCTTCTCTCCTCTTCCTTCCCTTTCATTAAGGGTAAAATTGTCTTTTACTTTTCAATTTTAATCCCTACACCTTATACCTGCCCCCCTTGTTACAATAGAGAGATAACTATATTTTTTTATCCCTATCCCTTTCATATGGGATAGAACAATTTCCATTAAACAAACAAGGGATTATAAGATACAAGGGATTATTAATCCCTATCCCATCATTTATCCCTACAAACAAACAACCTCTAATGTTAATTACACATTGAATCTATTTAGGAAAAACCAATACAAAGTTGAAACCAAATCTAAGCCCAACACATTGACTTAAATTGCTACTCTTAACATTTCATGAGTTTTTTTTCAGGGGCGAAATTAGGGGGTTGGGTTATGTTAAATACAATTGGACTAGCTTGATCTTGAACTCTAGCTCTATGTCTCTAGTTTAATTTTGAAAGTCTTTTAATTTGAACTCTTCAAAGTGAATTTTGTATTTTGAACAAAATAATTTATTTTATACAAAGGTGGACATGGGCCGGGTTATTATAAAAATGTCCAACCCAGTATAAGCCTGCCTCAAGTCCATCATTGCTATGCTAGTGGGTCATGGGTCGTGCATGAATATCATTTTCAAAAGTTGGCACGAGCTTGGCATGGACATGACATATTGACAGGTTGGCCCACATGTTAGCCCGCTTTTTAAAACCAATTTAGTAATCGTTACGGTACCTATTGCGTTGGCACTTGTTTTGTTTTTAAATAATTGACATAATTTCTATAGGCTCATTTTATGTATGACCCATTTGAGCATGAGGTGCAGTGGCATAGCCAAACGCCCAAACCCGTACCATCTTTGAGGAAATGGTTTTTTTTTTTTTTTTTTTTTTTTTTTTTTTTTTTTGTTGTTGTTGTTGTTGTTTAGAGAGCCACAAGGGCGAGTGATGAGAATCGATCCCAGGATCACCTGTCATCGGGAGGGGAGTTCTAACCACTTGAGTTATCTCTCACTCTCATCTTTAAGAAAATGTTTAAGAGTAAAAAATTAAAAGCTTAGTTTAACACATTATTGATGAAGATTTCATTCATTATATAATCCATATAAAATGCAATCATAAATTATATGATCGAGTTATTTTAAACTACGTACAAATTCACTATTATGGTGTCCAAATCAACTCATTTGCAATCATAGCTTCCAAAATTTATTCGTATTATTCATTTACAATATTTAATTATAAATTTAATTAACAACAGAAGATTGACGAAACACATTTACAATCTGTCAATCGACTCTAAAGGCAATCTATATGAAAAGATTGAAAACCAAGCATTTGATCATTAAACAACAAAATTAACAAAACTATTGGCCCACCACTCCTTTAAACAATAATGATTACGAGTAAGTACTCAGTTTCAGACTAATCACCCTCTCACCCACTAGGCCACTTCTTAATGTGCTATCCTTCATTCCTTCCTTTGACTTTTGTTATTTTGTACAGTAGTTGGGCTGAGTTCTTTGACTATAGAAACTTCCATTTCTTTTTCTTTTTTTCAAAGTTGGTTGTGTTGTACTTGTGGACCTTGTGGTGATAATTTTCTTTTTCTTTAAAGTTCATTCAAGAAAAATAACAGCATAATCGAAAGACAAACTAATACAAGAAAGTAATAAGCAAACTAAATGCTAACGTAAAAAAACATATTCTTACTCATGAGATTGTCATATTCATATGAAATTTGCCTACGTTTGCAATCAACCTTAACCCTATAAAATAAGAAATTGTTAGGAACATTTGTTATTTAATGTTACATGTTAATTAAGGTAATACGTAGTAATTTTATTCTCGCTAAATATTACGATATCTTTCATAAAATGCATTATGGAGTTATGGTTATACAATTAGTTTATGGTAATGTCGTTACCTAAAATACATAAACTAGATTTTTTTATAATAAATAATTGAGATTCTTGTTGTCGATCGTACAAAAAGTGTTATATTATTTGTCCATTTTTAAGCGTGTGATTCAAAGTGCTAATGTACATTTTATAAAATCAATACAGAATATACTCTATACAAAAGAAGAATTTTTTATTTTTTTAATTTTTTAAGTACACTCCATACAAAAGTAGAATTTCAGTAATCCAACTTTGAACCAACATGGCCCAAATATCTTTATTTAGGGGTGTGTTTCTCTTCACTATTTTTTTGATAGCTAATCAGAATTGATCATGTCCAATTAGGCAAAAAAGTTTTATGGTCAATGAGAGTTGATCATGTCGAAACATACTTAAAAAAAACAAAACAATAATTTTTCATAACTTCCAACATTGTAATTTCTTTTGTAAATTTGATATGTCCCAGGATTTGGCATAGATGCATTTTATTTACTTAATATAAAATCATAACAAATGAATAATATTTTTTCCCTTTCAGTCTTTTCGACCCGGAAACCTTGCCTTTTTTCACTCTTAACTTTCCAAACTAAAGTATATTTCCATAAAATTTAGCTAAATTAAATTAAATTACTCGTATTAAACAAATCAACTCATAATAATATAATAATATTAAAAAATAAAAAGCTTTACTTTCCTTGTAAAGAAAATCAGAAAAATACAACCCCACTCATTAAAACATTCTCCCAACTTCTTCACATCTTCCTCATCAACTTCAATAATAATCTTCCAACCACCATTACCAAAACCAAGCTTCCTTCAATGGCAGATTGAACCAAAACCTAAAGATAAGAGAGAAAGTAAAAGAGGAGAGAGAAAGTGATTACAATGTGGAGTTCGTATTTTCGAAGAAGTTTAACAATGGCGGCGACTCATCGGAGTCGTCAAACTCTGTACTTTCCGGCGCGTTTTCCGGAGGTTTTTTCGGCGTCGAGAGACGATAATCGAGAGGAAAGGCGGTTTATGGCGACGGCGAGTGGCGGAGCAGAGAGAGAAGCGGCGGTTACGTTGGGAGAAGTGAAGAAATTGATGAGATTAGTGAATGTTGAAGCGTTGAAGACGAAGCTTGGAGAAGATGGAAAAGAGGTGATTGGATATTCAGAGCTTTTGAAAACTTGTGAAAGTATGGGAGTTACGAGATCTGTTGACGAAGCTGCTGCTTTCGCGAAAGTTCTTGATGAAGCTGGTGTTGTTCTGCTTTTTCGTCATAAAGTTTATCTTCATCCTGATAAGGTATAAATTTTAAAATCGATTATGATATGTTTTTTGAAAATTTGATTTGTTCTTTAATTTGTGTTTATTTGGAATTTTGCTGGAAATTTTGAGTGATTTTTTGTGGTTGATTATTATATATTGAAGAAATGTGTGTGTTGGTGTGTTGATTTGTGATGTTGTATGGTTTATTTGTTTTGTGTGTAGAGAGGAATCTTATTTTTTGGAATTATGTGTAAATATTAATTTTGAATGGACATGGAGAAATTGGATAGGTATAAATGGTATGATTGGGTTTGTGATGATTGTAAGAAAATGGAAGATTGTTATCGATTCCGGAAGATTTGGTTTAGAGGTCTGAGGGTTGGTTATGGGTGTGAATCAAAGGGTTGGCACAGTAAGAGTCTTGTCTTTATTTTCGAGAGTTGAAATTACCATTGCTTAGATACAAAAATGGTGAAGATGTTGGCAATTGAGAATTTGATTGATACCAAGGTCATTTGAGTACATGATGGCAAGCTAAGTTGGGGAAATCATCGAAAAAATGATGACAGCTAGACAGGAAGAGAAAAGAATGTCCTTTCGTTGCAAATGATGGTGATGAAATATAGGAACCAATACAATTCAATTGAGGATGTAAGGCATGCCAAATATGATCGGTTGAATAATCTAATGTACTTTGAGGGTGCTTTTGTCTTTAGAAATTTCAATATTTTTCCTTATTGAATTGACATAATTTCAAAATTTCAACTCCCAAGCTTGAATGAAAGTAACCCCTGCTTGATAATGCTACTTTAGCCCATTCATATTCCTCATATTAGGGGTCCTTTTGTAGCCTTCCTATGTTGGCATCTTCTTTCACGCATAGCCTGCAGGATCACACAATTGCACCCAAGGAAAGGAGGTTAGAGTGTGTTGTAGAATGCAGTATTCATCTTTGATGTATCTGAAGTCACCCTTTCAAAGATCCAGTTATTAGTCTGTATTGCTCACCATAGGGTGAAAAGGTTTTCAGGAGCAATGCTGTTATGAACCTCTTTCTCAGAACCTTTCGAAACACTTAAGTTGAGTTTTGAGCGTACCTCATCTTGATTGATAATTTTCCAACTTGACATACTGAATCTTAAGACATAGGAGCCACTAGGCCACAATTGATGTTATCCCTGTATTACGAAATATTCTTTGACCAAAAAGCAATTTAGAGCCTAATATTTACTCTCTGCTTAAAACTTTGTCAACTTGAAAGTGGCCATAGCGAGGCGTATATATGAATATATGTTAGCATGAGGAAATGAATTTAGAGCTTCTCTATCTATGTGCTGAGTAGCAAGCCCGTGGGAGGGTTTCAAAGTAAGACATAAAATCTAGGTGAATATCTAGATACTGTTTGAGTAGAATCTATATTAAGTTGTTTCGTAATTTTTTTTTGATGATTAGTCCCGACTCTTGTGTAGCATTTAGATAATTCAAGGTGATTTTCTTTTATGCTGTATAGTGGGTCTTCATCCTTTCGAATATTATGGAAATAAGTCAGAGCGGTAAAGGAATGCAGCTTTTTCCATTTAATTTTTGTACTTTCAACTTGCATTTTGGATCTTTTTTTTGGGGGTGACCCGGGGGGGGGGGAGTGGTGTTGTCACATAGACTTTGAAGGTGTTGTTGACAGTTAGAATTTGGATGATTTCTGACAGTTTTTTTTGTTGTAATAGTGATGGTGATTGATAGGTGGTGTGTTACATGATCTTGTTAAGGTTTTATAACTGCTAATTGAAGGGGGAATGAAAAAGGGAGTCTAAAGTTGACTTTACTGCAGCACTTTTGAGCTATATCAGATGGGTATACTCTTTCTTAAAATCTTTTTGAAGAGGTATCAGATTCCCATTTCTAATTTAGAATCTAGGATTTTCCTATGTCATTCTTAGGTGTTATAGCTTAGTGCTGTTGAATAAGGTAGGTGGGCTTTATTTTTGGGGTGTGTGTGTGTGTGTGTGCACGTGTGTGTGTGTGTGTGTGTGGCAAGAGTTATAAAGCTGACTTTAAGTCATCACTTTTGAGCAGCGACACATGTGAAAACTTTTGGTTTGGATCCTTCTGCAGAGGAATCAGATTCAGCTCTAATTAAGATTTAGATATCTATTTCGTGGTTAGTATTGTTTTGTTTCTTCCTAACAAATATTCATTAAATAATCTTTGCTACGTAATATATACAGGATTTTCTTTTTGAAATATTTGGTATAGTGATAGGGTCATAGGGAAAATGCAGCACTTCGGGTATTGGAGTTGTTTGCTTATTTTGAGTGTATATCTGACAATGATGAGTGCATACAAATTCTTCTTGTCTTTTGAGTTCGTATGTTTCAGTCAATGTGTTCACATTAGGGTAGGATTTGGAGCTAGAGAGGTATATATTCTTAGATAGTGAATCAAATAAAGCATTTGGTTTATCTCTTTTGCCTTTTCAAATCCCATTTTATTTAATGTTTGTGATCATGAGATTTTTGTTATTTATAGGTAGGAGGATTTTATATACCACGATTTGACAGCTTTCTCTAAATGTCATTTCTTTCTTGGTGGATCTGATCCTCCTATTGTCCGGTATTGTATACCAAGATGTAAACAGCCTTCTTCATCACTGTCTTCCCTTTGGTTGACACCAGAAGCTGAAAGTGAAACACATTCAGGATGCCAAGCAGTGTCAGCAGGAGTTGCCAGCTTTAGAGATTCCGTACTCTTCCCTTCAAGAAAGTTTTCTCACTCGTAGGAATTTCATTTCACCTACGCTTTTATATGATTTATTTCGTCCGTTTATGACTGCATAAAAACATCAATGGTGTGCAAAAAGGCTTGGATTATGGGATTAAGGCTTTGATTGATTGATTGATTGTGCAAAAAGGCTGAGACTAAATACACATAAATTACTTTGTTTTCATCTCTCTTAAAAAATATTTTTCTCCTTTAGAATAACATCTGAAGTGAAGTTGCTAAAGGGGCATATATTGCTACAGAGGCAAGTTTATGACGCTATAGTCCAGTAAAGTATATGTAATTTTGATGTAGTTTCTTGAACTTGGAAGTATCCATGTTAACACACTTTCACTTAACTCAAAGAGCTATCAGTTTATGAATATTCTAGTACGAGGCATTGTCACTAAAAGGGATGTATGCCTGGATGGCTTGTGTTGCTAAATACTAACATGGCTAGGACTGAATTAAAAGGAAGAAGATGGTTGTTTTTGTGTATAATTGAGAATTACAGATTATAACAAGATGATACAAGCAATTTAGAGGCTTGTTCTTTACCTCTCTCCCAGAAAATGTAAAATTATCATGCCCTCTCTCTAGGCATTTACTTAACTAACCAACAATCTTAGCTAAATAATTTTTCTACTACCCAAAGTGTCTCTGACCCCTTATATTGGTTCTTTGCTTATACATATTCTCGCCGTGCTAAAAGGGTTATGAACAATTAGGCTCATACTATCCTGTAAACTCGCAACATCCTTAAAGCACCTAATAATCACTGATGGCAATTCCATACCTTTAGCTTGTGTTTTTGGGGATTTTATTTTTTATGTCCATTAAGTCCCATCAGTGAGTAAATTAGGACCAAAATGCACTCTTGCTGCGTGACAGGATGTGAAGCTTAATAACATTGAAGCTGTTCTCTTCAAATTATCTGTACCTAAGGGCCTAAGGTTCTAAGTTTCTAACTTCTAAGCTGCAAACTCCTGCGTATTTCAGAGTGGTGATGGGAAATCAAATAGCCATCTGTTCATATAATTAATTATCTGAGCTGGAAGTTGGAGCCATATGGTTTGAAACTTTAGGTAATTGATGGAAAAATATTCTAAATTAAGAGTGGGATATCTGGATTGTATGGCTTAGAAAAAAGGGCCCCAAAGATTATTATTAATTCACCATGTCATATTAGTACTTTAGAGATGAGGCTTTCAACAGAGTTTTCTAGGCTGATCAGCAGAAGCTATGATACTAGTATTCTTCTTGTTACATACAGTTTTCTTAAACAAAAACTCACTTTTCCTTGATCACGGATTCTCCTTTGTATTTGATGGACCTAAAATTACAAATGAACTTGTTAATCCTGTCCCTCCTGCTTTTATAATATTCCCTCTTAGACTTCCTGTGTAGAACTTAATTGGGAGATGAGATGGAGCCTTGAAATTTAAGAAGATCCATTTTTGTATTTCAACTTTGTCTCACCCTTCCAATGTAACGGTATTGATAGTAGTTACTATACTATTATTCTTAGGTTTGTGAGTGTTGCTTATTTCAATTATTCCTTTGTACTCCATAAACACTGCTGTTTGGAGCTTTTGAAGTACTAAATCCACTCTGATGTTTTGTACTCCATAAACACTGCTGTTTGGAGCTTTTGAAGTACTAAATCCACTCTGATGTTTTGGCACTAGTATAGATGTATAGTATATGATTTGTGGTTTACAAGATAATCGATTCTCATCTGCCATTGCTTTTACTGCATCCCCCCCCCCCCCCCCTCTCCGTTCTTGTACCAAGGTTGTTGAACTGGTTAGGAGATCGATTCCGCTTGCCTTAACTCCAGAAGATGATCCAAGGAGGGAAGAGCTGCAGAAGTTGCAAGAAAGGAAGGAAGAGATTGACAGGAAGGCTCACAGGCAGGTTCGTTTAATGCTGTGGTCAGGCCTTGGTGTTGCTATATTGCAGGTCGGGCTTTTCTTTCGTCTTACTTTCTGGGAATTCTCGTGGGATGTGATGGAGCCAATCGCATTCTTTACAACAGCAACCGGCTTAGTGATCGGTTATGGCTACTTTATGATTACCTCAAAAGATCCCACGTACCAAGACCTGATGAAGACACTCTTCCTTTCAAGGCAGCGGAAGCTGTTCAAGAAGTACCAATTTGATATTGACAGATTTATTGAGCTGAGAGATAAGTGCAAAAATCCTCTCGACAAAAAGCAGATCAATGAGAAGTTAGTACTGTAAAGGTATTTAGTTTCTCTCAACCTGTCCATGTAATCAGAAATACTTTCAAGACCTGATTTTATCTGTCTCATTAATATAGATTTTTGCTGAATTCTCAGATTGATCAATATCTTCTACAGCAGAAGAGGATTGTGGACATATTGATGCCAAGATACTTTTTCTCCAAGTAAAGAAGCTCGTAACTAATATTGCAATTCTTATTTGACCTATCTATCATCCTTGATAGCAGCTAATCATATTGCGCCATCAGCAAGAAAGCTATTGCTCTTCTGTCCTTTTTTTTCCCTTAGGCAAAGGAACGAGCCTCAAAAAATATGAAATGGCTTACCCCGTTGTTCCTATTGATAGAGGAGTCTAGTATCTTTCCTGAAGTGGTGAACACTTGCTAACATTAACAGATTTATCTTCAATGAAAGCTACCATTTTGATATGATGTCTGGCTGTTTTTCGAATGATCAATTGCATCATGAGTAACATTTGTTATCTAAAACAGCTAAATTCTGAAAGACAATGAAATTCTACTTTTTCCGTTTCAGTTTTGTCCCAATTTTCAGGCTATTGATAGTATTGTAAATTCTATCCAATATGGAATTTCAAAGATGTAATGAACTAAGATTCCCAATTCAATTCGATAAATCAAGGATTTTGTTTATTTGCTCATAAAATAAATAAATAAATAAAAAATAAAAAACGAATCAACTATTGATACACATTGTAATATCTATGTTGAAATTAGAAAGTATCAAAGTGCAACTAACAGAAAGTATAGAGATACGAAAATAATAATAGTTGTTCATAGATCTTGAGAATGAAAGAACACATTTTTTGTCTTCAATTTCAAAAAACATTTGAAGTTATTCAACTATCTCGTTCATCACTACAGCAGCCCGTAGGCTAGATACTACTTCCAAAATTCGTACTCAGGAGATTCAAAGATGTTCAACAGAGGGAGCAATGTTCAAAACTCAATCTCAAGTTCCTGAGATGCTAATTTCCAAATTTGGAATGAAAGTTGGAGTTGCGAACTTTACGTGGATAATGTTTTCCTTTGCAACAGGGTGCTTGAGCCTTGCAGCCCTGTTGTGGCTTTTGACGAAGAAACTCTCCTTGAATTCTAGTCCTAAGTCATTCATTTCGTAGACAGAATTGATTGGAAAAATATACACACTTGATAATTACATTTGTTCTGGTTAAATTATGGAAATCTCAGGTGAAAGTTTATCAGTCTATCAATAGCTGTGGATAATGTTGTAGATTGAAGAATAGGTTCCAAGTACTGCCACGGCAAGCCCCATCACCACGACTGCATAACACGTAATAATCTGGAAAACACAAAAATTATAGTCAAGATTTTTACTCTTTTTTCTTACGTAAATTGTACTTTATATCAGAAAACATTTTGTACATCAGAAATAGTAGTTATATTACCTGTATAGTTGACAGGTTCTTGGCAACTTTTATGTAGCCGAGAGCTGGAACTACAATAGACTGCATTTACAATCAAATAGTATAAGATCGGAAATTTATTAAGTTATAAAGCAATTTTTAAAAGGTATAATCATCATCCTACCGTTAGTAAGCACAGTAGTGATCCAGTAAAGGCCATCACATAACCTGAAATTCATGTTGTTAGTAAAGGTATATTTATCTATGTGTTGGTTAGTTGCTAAAATGATTATGACTTTTCAATAACATACCGAAAAAGGGAACCAGGAACGCTACACAAACACTCGAAACGACAAGAGTAGTTCTCAGAGGAATTATGCACCAGCAACTGTTGGATAGATTTGGGGACAGCAACTCTTCTAGACTCCTGGCCAATGGATTTAGCAACAAAGGATATGTATGCAGTTGTTAAGGGAAAACAACTCTACATTTCTTAAGAAAGGAATATCACAATTCATAAATTTATAAGCTAGTCAAAACTCGAAAGGATATTTGAAGAAGGGGCTCAGAACCTGAAAAAAGGAAAACAAGTAATAAGTTGTAAGAAAAACAAATATTATCGAGCATTTCTACACATTAATGTGATCATAAGTCGAATCATACAGTAGTCCACAGGGCAATTGTGGTGGCAGCAGAGTTTTCTGGTAGGTTAAGGGTGACTTGGGAGTCAGTGTCCTCGCCAAACATGAGAAACCCCGATACAGCCACAAGAAGATATACTGAGATAGACAATGCAAAACTGTATTGCAAAATCATAGAAATAATTTAGACTTGTTAATAAGTGAAGTGCAGAAAGTACCAGTGACATTCAGAATATGTATACAAACCAACCATACATTATTGTCAGTGCCTTTTGAAATTTCTTCTTGTCTGACATTGAATGATACAGGTTCGGAAGGACAGAATGGCCGGAGTAGCAAAAACCAAACACACCAAAAGCATAAGGAATGCCATTCCATTTCACTAAAGGCCCAGTTTGATGAAATCCAATGTCTTCTGTAGTACCAACTAAAAGCAATGAAAGCGCTATGCATACTACTCCAAATACGCCACCAACTGCAAAATAATGTTGATTATACATTTCTTATGGATGAGAATATACATTGATTTTTGCAGAAAAATAAATTTTTTTTGAAGATTTTTGATGCCAGTGTACCAGAAACGAAGGAAATTTTGCGAAAATCCCTGAGATAGCAAATTGGTAGAACAATAAGAGCAGAAATTATTCCAAGAGAGTGAACTGGGCCAAGGTAAAGATCACCCCAGTGCAAGGAAACATTTGGGAATAATTTAGCAAGATTAGCTGCTTCCAACATTATGAATTCCACACAACTGAACTGCATCCAAAAATTAATCAGTATAACAGATAACAGAACATCCCTGAAAATCTTGCAAGAATGCAACATTCATGCTTACATATAACTCGATATAGAAGATGATCTGCAAAAAGCATTCATAAAAAAAAAAAGTTTGTCAGAAGAGCATAAAGAATATGATAAAATTTAAAGCAGAAACATCTAGACAGATGATTGCAAAACTCACTGATACAAAAATGCGGCCAAAGTTTCCAAATGCTGCTGCTCCTAGGTCAGGAAAAGTGATGATTTCTTTGTTGATCTCCATGCATTTCCTCAAGAGATAACCTGTGAAATAGCTAATTCCTGCATATAGAAGTAATAATCCTACACTCGCCCAACCTCCTTCTTGTATCGTTGATGGCACTGACAGAAGTCCAATGCCAACAAATACACTGAACCCTGATAAATATATGAACCAATCTCTTCATTTGACCAAGTTCAATCAAATAGATGGAAGGAACAGAATTTTTGGTATTTACCATTGAAGACAGTTTGTGTGACATTGCAGCCGTAAGTAATCTGCTCCCCAGAAGGATGAAAGAAGGATGATTTGCCTACGGATGACCATGTTAAGGTACTGGAGTATCTGTCAAACTGCTCTTTAGACGTTTCATTAGGGGTAAGAAAAGGTGCCTTAACACCAAGATCTTGATGGCTTTGACTTATATTGGTTATGCTTTGTGTTATACTTTGAGTTATGTCTTGTGCTTGTCTAAGAATGCTAAGGCCATTTGGTGATGCAGCAATGGAGAGCGAGTCTGTGGTTTCTCTGCATTATATCAACAAAACAACAGATTTTAAGAGAATCTACGATCAACAAGCCTTAGAAATTTAACATCCTTTTGATAAATAACATTTATTCAAGTATCAATATCATGTCGACTATTATCTAGCAAATGCAACCCAAGAAATGATAAATTCATCACTGACACATACAACTAAATCCAATTTCAATGTATCTTTTAAAATTCTTGACACTTGACATATAAAATCATACAGGGATATTTCAAGGTTTGCATAACTAGGGGACATTTTCGAGGAAAAATAACTTGAGATTGGATAATTTTGTTCATCTCTCAGACGGGAAAAACTACATATATGGTATTGATTTGCATGATATAAAGACCTTATATTCATATTTAATCAGCTTATAACTAGACACCCATAACATTTTCTACAATTATATTGTTACAAAATCCACAATAACCCTACACTGTTATACGAACTTGCAACAATACACTATAAACTCACAATGCATGATTAAATAATCAATAATGAACAACATTTTTATATCTTTAAAATCCAAAAACACATGAAAATATACATAAAATGTGGAGAAAATAATGCATAATAATGTACCTATAACTCCGAGGCCATTGATCCAAATAAGAATGATCACCTCCTGCATAATGATTTGTATTATCTCCATCATTGATGCTCGAGGAATAATCATGATCATCATTAACATCACTCATTTCATCATTATCAAAATCATTATCATCTACTTTGAAAATAAATTCACTCATTATTTCCAAAATGATGCGAATTTATTTTGGTTACTTAATTGGACTAGCAGTCTAGCACACAATCTGCAAAAACGGAAAAAATGTATATATTGTCAACCAATATTGTTAATGGGGTACAAGAATGTAGGATTTTTTCAACAAAAAGAAACATTCAAGATCAATAAAATAAAATTATGCATTCTAAAATATTCTATTTGACCACTTATGTTTGTTGTGGCTCTGCCTTCTATTTTGCTTGACGTATGATGGTAGGGTTTAACGAGGTTCAGATATATACAATAAAATATATTTATCTGTGAATAAACATAAACCTGTCTCATATTTTGTTTTTAACAAAGTATACATTATTTTCCATCTAAGGAATTTTTATTTCTTATTCGGAAAAAATCTTGTCAAAGTGAATACAAAATACCTGGTGCAACCAAGTGTATATAAATATTTTTACACAACATAAGCCGTACTCAGTATAATTTTTGGTATTGAATCAAAGAATTTCAAGAATTCATGACAACCACGATAATCCATGGTGTACAGGCATATTGCATCTCGCGAGAGTCAGTTTTGAGGGCTTTTTAATTTTCACAAACTTTCATATGTGGCCAATCATTATGGGGTTATTTTGTTAGTGTTATAGGGGTTACTCACTCGGCTAGGGGTTATTAAGTCGGTCAGGAGTTACTCGTTGGTTAGGGGTTTGGTGTGTGTCGGTGTGACCAGCTGCACACAAAAGTTGTTGATTTATTTTTTACTTTTTTAATTTTATCCCTCCAGTAAAAATACTATTCTAATTATACCTTCAATCAAAACCTACCTATTTAGAAGTATAAATTATTGGACAAACCTCATTAGTAACACAACCGATAACACACAAGCAATTGACTAGAGCGTATGCGCAGAATACTCATTTTCGTTATCATCATAAAAATCAATTTATGATGTTAATGTGACAATTATCTTTTATAACCATTTTTATCTTTTTTTGAGCAAAATATGTGGTTTTTTTTGCTTAAGCCGTGACTTTGATTGACTAGATATTCTTGATGGTTAGCTCAAAATGAATTTGGAGAAACAGCTAATTCCCAGCTTAACCCCACCTTTTATATATTAGTGGGTAGCCACTGCTGTACGTAGTAGCTTGGTAAAAGGTACACTAATTAACTTATTTAATACGAAGTACTTCGTATAATTATAAGATCTATTATTCTACTACGTAAGTCAAATACAAGAAAATGAACCACAAAAGGAAGGAAATGTATACATATTAATTATTAATCCTTCTTAATATTGATTTCCAAATAAATATCTGACTCAAAACCTTGTGTTTTTATTCATCAATATTGCGTCATCTATCATGAACAAATTTTTTCTGGTTTTTGTCAAATTTAGAGTACTAATCATAGATGTGTCACAGTTCATCCTCGACTTATTATTGTTGTTGTATTTCTTACCTTACCAAAGGAACAAAAGGCATATATTGTTTTGATATTTGGAGGGTCATCAAAATGATTAGTGTGGGTGTTCGTTATTTGTTTTTTTTTGTGTTCCACCCGCTTCACCCTTTGAGCTAATTCGGGTTCAAGGATCAATTATGGGTGGTTAGGTTTCAGTCCTCTTCCAATTGTTGTCGCAGGGGATCGAACACGCGGTCCTCCCTACCAAGTGTAGCCCCAATCACCACTACACCAACGATCAATTGGTATGGGTGTTCGTTATTTGTAAATAAATAAATTATAAATCACCATCAGAGTAATTAATAGAATTATAAAATTAACATCAATACGAATTAAAATAAAACTAAGCTAACTGCGTAATTTATATATTAATCTCAACAATCACTTAATGTCTATACAAAAATGTGTATTATTGTAGGTTAGATCTAGACCTCGTTAATGGGTAAGTCGGTCAAGATTGGGTCAAAGAGGATCACATTTTTGTAGGGTCAAAAAGTAGGTTGGACCAATGCAAGTCGTGGGTTACTAACAAGTCTATAATAGATGAGCCATTAAACCATCTATTAAAAAGTTATAAGTCAAAGCCTTAATTGAGTATATATTAATCTATCTATAATAAATATTTTTAAAATAACAACCACTGATATATACCCTTTTCAAATTATACACATGTCAAATTGTGATAGATTATTCTCCCGTCTAAATCAATTGCTAACATCATATTCTTATCCTTATTTTTTACCTTTTATTTATTTATTTTTTATTTTTTATTTTTTTGTTAGATCCTTATTTTTCCTTAATAAATTATTATATTATAATTTTTTTAGATAATTATTACATTATATTATACTCCATAGTGTATAATTACTCCCAATTAAAGAGTACTCCGTAGTGTATAATTTGCTTAAATATGTACTTTTCTTCAAAATTATTTAGATCTAAATAGCATTGCAATTAATACTTATGTTTCTCTAATTTTTCTCATATGAGGTACATATATAAAATATATTTATTTGATAGATTTTTTTTATGTCGTATATCGCACAGGGCTAATCTAGTATCTGAATATGAGAATATCCATGTAATTTTTTTAAAATTATCTTTTTTCTTTAATTATTAAATTGGGCAAATATTTTCACCCTATATTGAACCTACCCGCTTGGCCGATTTTGTCCATTAACGACCCTTTAATCTTAGTTCATTTCTATTATCATTGGGCCACCCTACTCAATAATTAAATCTAGTTAGATCGTTGTTTTTACTGAATTTGTATAGTGTATATGTGGATAGTTTTCGGTGATTAACAACTTAGGGTGCGTTCTATTCATCTAGTTTTCGCTCAACTGAACAATTCATAAATTTATTAGATCTTATTAAAATTTATTTTAATTGTAATATAAACTTGGATAACCCTTATTAGATTTTATATTTCCCGAATTGAACTTATTAAACTTAAAATAAGTGAAAATAAGGTGAATGCCTCAATGGGCGTGATCGGTGGCATTGTAGTCTTTGTCGTGTACTCCCTCCGTTCCTTTATTTTTGCCCCATTGCTATTTTTGGGGTCAAACTTTGAAAACTTTGACCATAAATTACCGTTAATCTATAAAAGATAATTTAGTTATGAGTGGTGTTGTTAGATTCGTCTTATTGTATATTTTATTAATATCACGTTTTTATAATTTTTACGTGTATAAAAATAAAGATATAGATGTTTTAACACGCGTTTTGGAGACCGTGCACAGTTAAATGGTGAAAAAAAATAGAGAGAGAGGGAGTATTAACAATGGGTATATGTTGCTTTAAGTGGTGAGATTTTATCAATAAGCGTTTGTAGTCCAACGGTTAGGATAATTGCCTTCCAAGCAATAGACCCGGGTTCGACTCCCGGCAAACGCATTTTATATTATTTTTAAGCTAAGTTAGCAACTGATCCAAATAGACCATTCTTGTTCTATCTGCTTTAGATCCAAATGATTCGCCTAATTGCTCAGCAAGGGAACACTCAACAGCTAATCATGAAAAAGTAAGTTCTGTTTTTTTTTTTTTTTTTTTTTTTTTTTTTTTCTTTTTGTGAATTTTATTAATACTGTAATTTGGTTCTTTCTTTTTCCTTGTTTTCAATGCTTGAAACTTTTAATTTACCAACTTTTGGATTTCACTGAAATTGATTTTCTTTCAATTTATCATTTTTCAATTGTGGGTATCTGAAATTTAGTTGATTTAGTGCTTGTTTGATGTTTTTAACAGCGAATTTGTTCATATATCTGGAATTCTTTCTGGGGTTGTTGTTTACTCTTAAATTTTCGATTTTGCCCAATTTGATAGATTACACTTGCTGAAAAATGGTTTGGAATTGCTCAATTTTCCCAGTAATGTATCTGCCAAACATGGGTTGCACTTTCCCATTTGAATGTATCGAATCGCAGTTCGTGGGGCTTTAGGGTTTTGTAGAGTAACACTGGATTTTTTCCTGATTTCCTGCATCATTTATGCTTGCAGGGTGTATGAGGATGTCAGAGCTAGCTTGCTGTTTATTTCAGGATGCTGTCTATATGATATAGTGTGTAGTATATAGCTATTTACTGTTTTTTGCCTTCCTACAATATTACCGTCCTTGTGATACATGAGAAGATGTGCACCATTTTGTTTGAGGAAATTATCGTATAATGATCTAAGAGGATTCGTTCCCGTGAAGGAGTGCCATGAGCACTTTTGGGGTTCCTTTGGAGCTCAGGCCGTGCGTCTGTCAACTGAGTTCAATGTTTTGGGATGTGAAGAAGGAAGGCATGTTGATGTGTTTCAAAGAACCCATCATAGAGACCTCCTTAAGAGTAGTGATGTTAAGACAAGCCAACAAGCACGTAAGCTTGTTGAACGAGGTTGCCTTCAACCTGACCCCCTGTTCTATAACAGATTGCTGAAGAAATGTGTGGAGTTAGGTGACCTGAGAGAAGGCAGGATTATTCATGCTCTTGTCCTTACTTCAGAGTTTAAGGATGATATTTTTATCCTTAATAACATTATCAACATGTATGTTAAGTGTGGCAGTTTAGGGGAGGCTAGAATATGTTTTGATGAGATGCCAGCTAAGGATACTTTTACCTGGACTACTATGATCGTTGCTTATACACAAAATGGTAGGCCCGAGGCAGGCCTTTCTATGATTCCCAAGATGCTTCATCTTGGCTTGAAACCAAACAATTTTACATTTTCTATCCTCCTAAAGGCCTCTGGGGCAATATCTAGTGCTAAGCATGGTATGCATATACACACCCTTTGCATCAAATATGGTTGTGATTCAAATGTCTATGTTGGAACTTCTCTGGTGGATATGTATGCAAGGTGCGGCCTTATTGATGAAGCACAATCGATATTTGATGGACTTGTGAGCAAAAATGAGGTCTCTTGGAATGCCCTAATTGCTGGCCATGCTAGAAAGGACAGAGGAGAAGAAGCTCTTAAGTTGTTCCAAAGTATGAAAAGGGAAGATTTTGATCCTAGTGATTTCACATATTCCACTGTACTCAATGCATGTGCCAGCGCTGGGATTTTGGAGCAAGGTAAGTGGATACATGCTCATGTGATAAAGTGTGGGGTGAAGCTTACTGATTTTGTTGGGCACACTCTTCTTCATATGTATGCAAAGTGTGGGAGCATTGAAGATGCAGAAAAGGTCTTCGCTAGATTGGTGGAGCGAGATGTTGTTTCATGGAACTCAATCCTAACCGGATATGCCCAACATGGTCTGGGGCACAAGTCATTGGAGCAATTTGACATCATGCTAAAGACTGGAATGCAACCAAATGCAATAACATTTCTTTGCTTGCTCACTTCTTGTAGCCATGCTGGGTTTGTGGAACAAGGACAGTATTACTTTGAAATGATGAAAACATATGGTTTAGAGCCGAAAATTGAGCATTATGTTACAATTGTTGATTTACTAGGTCGGGCAGGCAAACTTGATCAGGCGCTGAAATTTATTAGGGATATGCCTGTTAAACCTGTTGCAGAGATATGGAAATGTCTTCTGGGGGCATGTAGGATGCATAGGAACATGGAGCTTGGTGTTTATGCAGCTGAACAAACTTTTGATCTTGACCCTTATGATTCAGGCCCTTATGTGATACTTGCCAATATGTATGCTTTGGCTGGTAGACGAAATGATGTTGCTAAGGTGAGAAAAATGATGAAGGATAGTAGGGTAAGGAAGGAACCTGCTTGTAGCTGGGTGGAGATTGAGAATGCAGTCCATGTGTTTGTTGCTGATGATGATACTCATCCTCAGAGCAAAGAGATTTATGACATGTGGGAGAGCATAAGTGCAAAGATCAAAGAAATTGGATATGTACCAGACACAAGCCATGTTCTCTTGTTTTTGGAGGATCATGAGAGAGAAGCAAAATTGCAGCATCACAGCGAAAAGCTTGCCTTGGCATTTGCTTGTCTTAACACACCACCTAAATCCACCATCCGAATTAAAAAGAACATTCGAGTTTGTGGTGATTGTCATTTAGCATTTAAGTTCGCATCAACGGTAATTGAAAGAGATATTATTGTGAGGGATACTAATCGTTTCCATCATTTTCGAAATGGTTCTTGTTCTTGTGGGGATTACTGGTAGTACTGAAGCTCGCTCAACAGTATTGAATTTTTTAGGGACTATTTCAGATTTTGAGATTGCTAAGAATCACGTGCTCACCAATTTCAGGATTGCTGCGGTCTGTGGGTAAAATACCGTTCATAGGGCTACCATTTAAAGATACTCCTTTGGTTTTGTACGATTACAATGTGAAATCTTAAACAGATGGAAGACCATTTTCACTAAACACATGAGAGAAAGTGCAGATAGGGTTAAAATTGTAATCTTGGTAAAATCTCTGCCAGGTGGAACTTGCAGTGTTGTAACCGAGCCAATGAATTCTCCATTTCTCCTAAAGAACTTTTAGTACTCTGTAACACGGATACTAGCTTTACGGTTTTTATGAAGAAAATATGTCAATTGGGTGCAAGAATCTGCTAAAAAATGACTGCTTGATCTTTTTGAACACCTTCTCAAGAAGCTATTGTTTTATTGGAACTGTAACACGGATACTAGCTTTACGGTTTTTATGAAGAAAATATGTCAATTGGGTGCAAGAATCTGCTAAAAAATGACTGCTTGATCTTTTTGAACACCTTCTCAAGAAGCTATTGTTTTATTGGAACAATACAGTTGTTCTTTGCAGAAAGCTGGAACTGTACGTGCCAGGTATATTGGAATCTATTTTCTTTATATTATGTACCAGCAATCATCCTTGAATATCCTTGATATTCATGTTGTTACTAATTGTGCTTTAGGTATTTCCAGCCTGGTTGTTCTCATGTTCTGTATGTTTGTTCATTAAATCAAGGGATCACATAATTTTGTCAATAGTTGCGGCTGTTAGGAAACACCTGAAGGCTTGCTCTTGTTTTTTTAACAACAGCTGCATAAGTGCTTTCCTTAAGATGATTATGGGATAGAGGCACTCTGAAGTCTGAACTAGAGGACAAGGTCGATCTTTCTCAGCACTCGTCATTTTGGAACTTCTTATGCTGTCATGCATTTCATCTATCTGATTCCTTATTATCCTTCCATTGTTGATGGGGGAAGAGTGAAAAAAGAATAAAGAAACTATGCTGGTATTGCCTTGTTGAATTATGCTAGACTCTTCTTTATATTTTCCGATGATTTTCAGGCTTCCTGCCCACAGCTTTGTTTCCCAATGAATAATCTGTCTCAACTTATGCTGTTCCAAAGTTGCTGATCTTTTTTATGAGCTGATGAAAAGTTTGTTTCCCAGTACCTGTACAGCAAAGCTCAGATCATGCTCTACTTTGTTTTCGGAGAATTTTGAGTTGTGAAGTTACTGGTTTATGGTATAGAAGAATGTTGAGCCCATTGCCTGACATGTGAGGCATGATAAAATAATATCCTATGTAGATGCCAAATCTATTGTCTAAAGGTTTTGCACTTATTATACTGTCTCTTGGACAGCTTATTATGATGTATGGAGTACTAATTATATTTGTGGCATGTTCATATATATCGTGTCTATAGACTTGTCACTTGTGTACGATAGGTCACATGTTCAAATCTTTTCTCCCGTATTTGTAATTTGTAATATTTGGACCATAAAATCTATCATGATGAAGATTACTATAATGCCTTGTTTAGATGATACTTGGTGTGCAACTGTGCATAAATTCACCAATTTAATGAAGGTGATACCTCGTGTGATTATTGTGTTGACATTTTCTCCAAAAATTATACTCAGATTTGTAGGTTGTTGCAAATTCATGCTCTTATACTTCTTATTTCTAGTACTCTATTGTTTATATTCATAATAGAACACCTAAATGACCCGAGAAAATCAGTAAGAAAGAAAGAACAAAAATTTAAACCCTTCTCCCACTTCCCCTTACATGCATTTATGATCGTCAATATACCTCCTAGAAAAGAAACCCTTCCCACATTCTTGGATGTCGAAGATTGAAGAAGAGGAAAGTTAGTCTTCTATGACTCCTTCGAATTCCATGTAGGAGCCTTGAGTTCGATCCTCATCAAACTGAAAATCGAGGATCAAACTCACTTTGGGAGGACTTTTCTTATTCTTCGGATTCTCATACCTTAAGGTAACTAATTACAAGCACCGTTCATATAAATCTTTTTCATTTGTGTCAAAAAACCAAGATCAAATATGACATAAATTTTATATAAGCCATAAATGCAAAACGATTTGGCACAAAAATAATTTCAAAAAACTTCCATAACTAAATACCCAATTTTATACTCCGTATTTCTTTTTTAATTCAAAACAAAGACAATACACAGATTAAGAAATCAGATAAAAAAGAAAAGAATGTCCGAAATAATTGATGAATAAATGAATGAAATCATACTCTTCCTGCCTGACTGACCTGTCTTTCTCCACCAAACCAACCAACTCCACCACCCTCCTTTTTACATTCTCAGAGTTTTTAGAGAGAGAAAATCGCCGCCGATTCTCTCTCCTCTTTCCTCCATTTCTACTACTTTCTCTCTCTACAACCTCTTTCTTTCTCTTTCAATCCGATCATCATCATCTACTCAAAACCCTAATTTCCGACGAATTTCACCTTTATTTGGGGGATCCGATCTGAAGGAAGTTTCTATTGCAATGGCGGCGGTGAAGGTTCCAAGGTCTCGAGGTCACTCCGGTGCTCCGGCGAAAGAGAATTTGCCCAAACTTGAAGAGAGTTTAAACGCGTTTCGTAATGATAGGTTTGATCCTCAGTCGTATGTTCAGTCCAAATGCTCTCTTAATGAGAAGGTAATTTGATTTTTGAGCTTAATTTGTGTTTCTGTTCTTTAATTTTGTTTTATTTTGCTCTTAATTTGTGTTCATTTCTGTTGAAATTTAAATTAAATTTTCGAGTTTGTCAGAAATTATGTTTTTCTTGTTTTTATGTATTGCTGATTATATGAATTTAGAAGAAAGAGGGGAATTTTATCTATTTTTCAAATAATTTCTAGTTGATGATGAATGATGAATAAGTGATAGAATGATGATTGATGGATAGGCTAAATATAGGGGGAATGCCAAATTGCCGATTTTAGTAGGGTTATTGCTGAGATTATTTGAAGGGAAGGGGAGGGTGTGTCTAAATTTGAGGGACAATCATGATGAGATGATTCTAAAGGGTTGTACAAGAAACCATGGTAATTCTATTTTTGGAATTTTACTATACAGCAAGGGTGACGATTCCTTTCTTTAGGGAAAGGGAGGGTGTCTAAATTTGAGGCATAATCATGATAAATTTTAAGGACTGTACAAGAACCCAAGGTAGTTCTATTTTTGGAATTTTAATAGACAGCAAGATGAGGATTCCTTTCTTATTTCGGCATGTTATGGTTATGGTCTTTTTGCTGTATGTAGAAAGACATTTGGGGATGGAAGTAAACTGATGGGATGTCAGATGTGTAGTTCATTTTAGGATGTATATGAAGGTGCTAATTGTCTACTTTGGGAATTGATACAAACAATCATTTCGATTCCATGAAACAGTAGGCTGTTTACTAAAGATGATGTATGTTTTTCCGCCAAAATTTGTGAGTGTACTGTAGTTTCTTGGTAAAACCTTACTAGGTGGCATGTTATTTCACCCGAATTTATCATTAGTTTCATTCTTGTAGATGCAATTCCTCATCAAGTTAAGTTAGAAATATGATATAAAAAATAAAAATAAATAAATAAATAAAAAAAATTGTTCTTGAACCCCCATAAAGAATGAGTTAATTATTGGGCCTTTGATCACGAAAGTTAGACAACTTCAACAGCTAGGTTTGGTCATGATAAGCTGGGAATGGCAGGAGTAACAAGTTAATGTGTGAGGAACATGTGTTGTCTTCGATGGGAAGCTGGAGAAGGTACTGACAGCAATAGAAAAAGAGAGCAAGGGAGGGGTTTGTATCCTCCACACTCCAATTGAAACACTTCCTTTGTTCTTAATAAGTGCAACACTGAGAGACAATTTATAAGGCTCCTAAGAATAGGAGAAAGAAAAAAGGAGGGACCCGTGTGTGTGTGTGTGTGTGTGTGAGAGAGAGAGAGAGAGAGAGTGATGCAAATAAGGTAACTTTGCAAAATATTATTGGGGCTTATTCAAAGGAAAGCGTGTCAAGCTAAGTGAGAAATATGAAAGAGAAATTGTTCTTGAACCCCATTAAGAACGAGTCAAACTTTCCCTTTTATGGACTTCTCGAGATGGAGCTAGACTATGTTTTTAAGAATCTCTTTGCTGGGTTTCTTTTAGCTGGAAGTAAATTTCCAATCGTGAGGAAAGGAATTTTCTAATATTGGCTTTTGATTGGTAGCACTTACCAGTATCATATAAGTTCCATAGTCATAGGTCATTGGGTAAGTTATATGAAAGGTAGATTGGTTAGACACTTAGACTACACTGTTAGTTTTTAAACTTGAAGTTTGTGTTAGGGTGTTGCCTTTCTAGTCACTACAATCTAATATCATCATGATGTGACGACCTTTTTCTGTGCTTTTAATACAGGAAATAAAGCACTTATGCTCATATCTGATGGATCTAAAAAAGGCATCTGCGGAGGAAATGCGAAGAAGTGTTTATGCAAACTATACAGCTTTTATTCGGTGAAGACTCTATCTACTGAATATTGAACTGCTGTCTGTTTTAACTTTTATTTTACACTACTCTCTGGCATTGTTTGTTAGTTTGACTCGTTTCAATCATTTGACCGATGTGATTTCAATAATTGTTTGTCTGATTTCCAGTTAAATTGACAGTTGAATTTCCATTAGTACAACTGCTAGAATATTTTCCCTTTTACAGTTGAATTTTAGTAACCAGAATTTAACAGTGCGTGTAATCGTGTATGGTTCTGTGCGGTGTATAACCTCTTCCCCCCCACCCCCCCCCCCCCTCCATCATGCATGAGCTCTTCTGGCTTGTACTAAATGGTGGACGAATATGTTCACCCTGCACCCCTTCCCAAATGAAGGTGAAGAAAGAGGAACAGAAAAGGGAAGAGCATAATCTGTATAATTAAGATATTGCTTTGAGTCAAAAAGTATGCTGATGTGTTTTGGTGGTCTTAAGTTTTCTGTATCACCCTCTTTCTTCATTAGATAATTATTTGGTGCGTGAAACTGGTTTCTGAATGTTCTAAATTCTAATTCCTATCATGACAAAAAATTGCTGGTTGTTGCCTGTTGGACTAATTGTGATTGTCCTGAATTTTATCAAAATAAGATTTTATTTAGTTCAAGTAATCTCATAATGTGTAGTTAGTGGTTCATGGGTTCTGAGACACAAGCAAGGAAGGCCTCTTTCACTATTTTATTTATTTATTTATTTTTTATCTCTTTTCAATGTTTTCTTTCTATATATTGCTATTTTTCTTGGATGGAGAGCTTCCTGAAAAATCTTCGGGCATTATTTTTTAGCATGACATGCATACTAACACAGCTTTAACCCTTGTGGCTTATATATATATATCTGATGAGAGAAGTTCTGAAAATTTAATTCTCCAGTTTGTCCTGGTAAATTTAACGGTCAGGGTTTATAATGCAGTACATCAAAAGAAATTTCAGATCTAGAAGGGGAGCTTCTTTCCATCAGAAACCTTCTAACCACTCAAGCAACTCTTATACATGGGCTAGCTGAAGGTGTCCACATGGAATCATCAGCAGTATCTAGTTCTGAAGGACATGTAATGAATGGTATCAGTAACAGTGAAGAAAGGGAACCTTCGGACCTGGAAAAATGGCTGGTTGAATTCCCTGATCACCTTGACGTGTTATTAGCTGAAAGAAGAGTCAACGAAGCTTTGACAGCCCTCAATGAAGGAGAGCGTGTTGCTTCTGAAGCCAAGGAAACAAAAACACTCAGCCCAGACGTGATCACTTCCCTTGAATATGCTATTAAAGAACGTAGGCAGAAATTTGCTGATCAGCTAGTTGAGGCTGCTTGCCAACCTACTACTCGTGGTACTGAGCTACGTGCTTCTGTATCAGCTCTTAAAAAACTTGGTGATGGTCCTCGTGCTCACACATTACTTCTCAGTGCACATTTACAACGATACCAGTATAACATGCAAAGTATACGTCCATCAAGTAGCTCGTACGGAGGAGCCTACACAGCTGCTCTTTCCCAGCTGGTCTTTTCTGCCATTGCTCAGGCAGCCAGTGATTCTTTGACCATCTTTGGTAGCGAACCTGCCTACACTTCTGAGTTGGTAACATGGGCTACCCAGCAAATAGAAGCATTTGCTCACCTTGTGAAAAGACATGCATTAGCTTCATCAGCTGCTGCAGGAGGTCTAAGAGCAGCTGCTGAGTGTGTTCAGATAGCTTTAGGCCATTGTTCACTATTGGAAGGCCGTGGTCTTTCACTTTGTCCAACACTAGTGAAACTCTTCAGGCCTAGTGTTGAACAAGCAGTGGATGCTAATTTTAAAAGGATAGAGGAGAGTACTGCTGCCTTAGCTGCTGCTGACGATTGGATTTTGACATATCCACCAACCGCTGCACGTCATTCTGGAAGGCCTTTGAGCACTGCTAACATGGCAGGATACCAGTACAAGCTTACAAGTAGTGCTCATCGGTTCATCTCGATGGTCCAGGTGAGTGATTTCTGGTTCTTGAATTTTATATGAAATTAGTCTAAT